TATATAGTGACAGCTTGATATCTTAAAATTTATACTAAAAATAAATATGTGTTTCTTACAGCTCGATTATATATATATATATATATATATGTGTGTGTGTGTGTGTGTTACAGATATAGTTTCATGGTTCTAAATATTAGGGATAGATCGTATACAAATATAAATGTTGACAGAGATCAACATCGGAAGCGACAGTCTGTTTCCCGTTTGGGCGAAATCTTCAGGTCACGTCCAGAAGCTTACGCTCAATCATGAAACAGAATTTTGCCTCTCGGTATATATATATATATATATATATATATATATATATATATATATATATATATATATATATATATATATTCGCTTTCTGAACATTAGATTCTTGTTCGAATCTCACCATGGTCGATTTTTCAGGAAGGAGACTTTCTGATGTTATCGGTCTGGAGTGGGAACAATTCCAGCGTGTGGCTCCTTTGGAAAGTGTCTGAAAACCATGCCAACGATTTTCACAGGCCTCGTGATTGAAACTGGGTAGACGGAACACTTAGGGCCGTCGATAGCTGTGCTAACACGAAGTAACAAATCATCGTGACCGAGCGTTTGAGTGTACTGTTGTTGTTCAGATTGTTGACCATTCTAAACAATATCGCGCTCTTCCAGAAACTGTAACTAAGGTCTGCTCAGCATAGTTACAATATAAATTACAAGTTGGCTCTGTGAGTGTTGAACAAACACAAATGTGCCTGAGCGAGAGTCTGCAATAGGGATTGGCTAGACGACCTAGTAGACGGCTATCCCCGAATACGAGTGTCCAGCTATTATATATATATATATGATAAGCAAATATAAATGGATATAAATCCGACAGAATGAAGAAAATATCTGGAAAAACAAAATTTAAAATTTTCATTTATCTGTTTTGGATAAGACTTGTTTTTATGTCCATCGTTTTCGTCGTGTTATACTGATTATATTAATTGTATTTTTAATGAATATTGTCCTGAAGAAGGTTATTAAACCGAAACGTCAGACGTCGACATTTCATTCATATTAAAACAACATAATCGCATTTTAAGAATTTTTGTTTTGTTTTTCCAGATATTTTCTTCATATATATATATATATATATATATATATATATACATGCATACTATATATATATGTTTTGTAGTGATTTTATAACATATTTATGTTATAATTTTATGTTTTGAAGTGATTTTATAACATATTTATGTAATAATTTTTAAATAGATAATCATATATATATATATATATATATATATATATATATATATATATATATAGTTTTAAGGTATGCTATATTTATGGGTTAAAGTGCTCATTATCAGGGATAGGACGTATGTAAATATAAAGGGGGACATTGAAGTTAACACCCAGGCGCGACAATCTGTTTCATACTTATACGCAATTGTCAAAGCCTTTAACTATAGTTTAAATCGTTAGTCAATGTAGTCTTTGCCTTGTTTGACAACCAGTCTCGGAGAAGAAGAATTCAAAAACCGTATGTAGCCCTGGTGAAACACGTAGTATGCTTTTAAGGAAAGGAACGTGCAATTCGCATTGACTCGATGATCTCAACTGCAGTCGACCTCCACCCATTAGTGTAATTAGAATTTTATAACTTGCAATTAAATACTCTGTTGGCGTAATTATTTATAAGTAGATAAAATATGTTGTCAGTTTCTACTAGAGCTACCGATATATGTCTATCCATACTGGGGTTATTTATAGATTATTTTACACACTCAAAACTCATTATTATTATTTTTTTCTTTTTAGGTGCAACCGATCATAAATAAATGACAGAAATGAGTCTAATACTTGAAAAGAGAATATTCGTTGCTGTTGGAAGTGTGAGAACATCGCTGAAGTGTAAAGTCAGAAAGGAGTTTCAAAATTATTCCACTAACGCGATTCACTTTTGCTTGCGTTATTGATACGTTTGAAGCGGAAAGAAAAACTCAGAGATGTCCCCAAGCATCCTTCCGGAAGACCGTGCGCATTCACAAACTTAGTGTCGATCTCCAGGCAAATATGTTGGACAACGAAACTCTCACAACACAATGGGATGTTGGGGGGGGGGTGTAGTACGAAAGACTATAGCTTGTATCATTCAATCCAGCCTCGCTTTAACAAAGCTAGTAACGTTTCATCACCACCGAGCAAACTTTAAATTCTCTCTAATCCTGACGAGTGCTTGGTTGGTTGATTTCGTTTACCGGCATATCAACACCTCTGTGGGTTATTTAATGCTGAAATCTAAATATTTTGAACACAGTTTTATATTTTCAACGCAATTGTATGCCTTCAGCTACAGATAAAATACATTGTTGATAATTCTACTATAAATAGGTATTGTTGTTTATATTTTTAATATAAAATGTCTTGTCAGTAATTTTAATATAAAATGTATTTTTATACATTCATAGTATTTTTATTTTGTTTGGGGTTTGACTATTGGCCCATAATAGGTGCTACCACCCCGGATCAGGGTGGCCCTGGGAGCAACAGCAATTAATTTGACGAGAGGTCATATTCTCATAGTATGCATTCAAATGCGATTACGCAGCCTAGACGAAGCGTTGTTAACCGTTCACTACCTACTCTATCGCTATTACTAAGGCAAATGTCCGAACGAGTTACATTCCTTAGTCCTACAAGCTCAGGCGTCCACAGCTAGGACCCGCCATACCATGTTCACGGTAGCATATCACTCCAATTCCCTCCTTATTCGTTTGGTAAGGAGTAGGTTCCACTCAGACAGCTTTTTTCTCCAGAATCGTTACTTTGTGGAACAGATTCCCAAGAGGATGTTTCTTTGACCACTATGATCTTAATTTTCAGCGTCAACCGTTATCTGTCCTACATATCCTAATAATATTCACATCCTGCTCTCCCCTTTCACCTACCTTACAACAATTTTACTCAGTAACGCTCTACATTGAGTGGACATTGGACCTTGTATTTGGGGAGCTAAAATGAAAAATAAAATGCGGCATTTCGTAAGATAGCTAATAGAATTTTTTTATTTATTTTAATATTAGTTCAAACTGTTAGAGAAGATTATTCTGAATAAAAGAATCCAAGTCTGTGAATGGCATTTAGCAAAATAAGGTGAGATAAAAGCAGCTATCGAAATAGAACAAGTCCAAATCCGAAATGATCTGCTTAATGCTGTGCTGTTTACAACACCAGTGTCTCCGTCAGAAAGGCTGTCAGTTTTAAACATTTGCGCTCGCTCAAAATAATGGCACATCTGCCCTCTTTATTTTGAATTGAAATACTTTGATGTAGTTTGTGATTTGATTAATAAAAATTCAAAGTGCACACACATTGTTGACACACATACACACACAAATTATCTCTCCTCTCTCTCTCACTCTTTCTTTCATATAAAAGAAAAATTCAAAATGATCCGTATTAAAAAGACAAGATAAATAGCAGAATCATCTGACCAGATGTGACAGCAATATTCAATGCATAGACGAACGGTAAACTTATAAACGTGTAAGATAGATTCTAGCAGGACAGTAAACTAACTTTCCTAGCAGCAAACCTAGCACTTGATTCAATATAATCTTAACACTTCATGTCATATATATATATATATATATATATATATATATATATATATATATTGAATTTGTAGGTCTGATGAATTGGATCGTATTTACGATTCCAATGGAATAAATTATGACCATGGAATATTAGTGTTTAAGCCTTTTTTTTATTATATATATATATATATATATATATATATATATATATATATATATATATATAGGTACCTTCAAAGATGAGCGTAGATGATGAAAAAAAACCCCAAACTTAATAAAAACACAGTTTTATCGTCAAAACCTTTGTTATTATTGAGAGGAAAGAGCAAAGGATTTTTTGATTATTAAATTAAATTTGTTAATACTTTTTAGAACCTTCAAAATTTTGGTTAAAAATCTTGTTTTTCTTGAGTGGGCGGGTGACTAATTAGAATGGGAAATTTTAGCGTCTTTTTGTGGTGAAAAATAAATTGATTTGGAAATTCTTTCAAAAATCAGATAATTGTCGGACTTTAATCAAACTTTCAGGATTAATTCACAAATGGATGAAATTATTTTAGAAATGTTTCACTCACCCTACTTATTTTATTTTATGAAATTTTGAGAAATTCATTTTTGTAGAGCTTAATGTTTATATTACTTATAAAGACAAGTTCTTGGAGAATTTTAAATCATCAATTTTTTTTGTCAAACAGGCACCTCAAATACCTAAAATCTGTTCTAAATCGTAAAATAAAAAAATGCAATACATCTAAGACATTATTTAATTAGTAAAAGATTTTAATTACTTTTATGAATAATATATATATATATATATATAAATACGCTTGTCTTAAGTGTTTTTCGATAAATAATATTTGCAAGTATGTTTTCATTTTTTAAAAAATTTTGATTAGAATAATTTATAGTTTTAAATCGTTTAAATTCTGTATTAATTTGTAGTGGTTGCGTAATATTTTTATTAAGTAAAAACTATATTTACTAATCATAAATCGAAAAGCTTACTACAATTCGGCGACCCCAAATTTTTAAATAATTTGTGTGTGTTAGTGTGAGTCTGTTTTTATAAATGTGCTGTTTTTTGAAAATACTGACGTGCTTACACGATATAAACTGAAAATAAAAGCGATAATTATATTAAATCTACATTTTATTGGTAGTTTTCTAACATTTCCTCAACAAGCGTCTTCGTAAGTAAAAGTACCTAAGATTCAATAAAATATTAGATTACTTGAATATTTTCCTAAATTTTTAAGATCACTGGGTAGTTAAGAATATATATAAAAAGAACGTTCACGTTGTATTCGTCAAGTAATTTCTACAGTTATGGGCCCTTTACTTAAAAATGCCAAACATTAAATTATTAACTGTAACTAACCAAACTGGAATTCAAAGTCGGCACTCCGATGTCTCATTAAACTACCGGCACATCCAAGCTTATGGTATCCCCAAACGCTCACCCGTCTAGGTACTGACTATGCTCTACGTTGCTTAACTTCGGTGATCGTAAGAGAACCGGTGTTCCACCGTGATATTGCCGTAAGCCAGTTTGGTACAGAATCTCGGAGGCGTATTGGAATAGCGAATGTTAGCTTCCAAAAGCTAAACAAAAGTATTAAGAAACAGGAAAATTTCTTTAGAAACAACGAAAAGACTGACGAACTGCTAGGTAATATTAGTCTTCCTATATGTCAACGAAAAATGGGCATCTTTTCACAGATGATGATGCTTAAAGTAACAGAAAAATGGTTCTACAGAAGGGTACTGAAAATATCATGGACTGAACATGTAAGCAACGACGAAGTTTGGAAGAAAATGGAAAGAAAAAGAAACAGTCGAAATTTCTAGGGCACATAATGAAGAAAGAAGGCCTAGACAATTTGGCACTCACAGGACATATTGCAGACAAGAGAGACAGAGAAAAGCAGCGTATTAGCTACCTAACGAGCATGTGTGAATAGTTTTCAGAACAGGGATTAAGGGAGGTAGCGAAAAACAAAATTTACTAAGAGGTACAATGGACAGGGAATTGTGGAAAGCCATAATCGCCCATGTCCTGAAGTGACACGGCACATAGAAGAAAAAGAAGAAGGAGAAGATGATGTTCTGAAGATGACTTTTGCATACACAGTTCTCGCTGCATCAGGGCAGTCTCTTTATTCTCCAGAGTTACTCAGGATGTGGCCTATGTTGGGTTAATGATAAGCAAGTGTTTTCTCGTTATGAACCCAGAGAGTATGACTAAATTGAGAAAACAGACGTTTTTGCCAAATACTAACATTTGCAACCTTTTTTTTTTAGTTCTGTTTTATGGGACAGATATTATTTTCAGATATGAAAAGGATTAAATGTCATTATGTGTGTGTGAAAATTTAATTTTTTTTCCTGTCTGACCTTTGTTGCGAATTTTTGTTGGGTTTCATATTTAGCAATGTCTTTTCAATATTTCAAGAAACATTTCTTTTAAATGTCTTTGTGGGAGGTTCACATTCGCGAAACCCTTTCCACACTACTTAAAACAAAAGGTTAGGAAGCAAACCCTCATTAAAACTAGAAAGAGCGATAATAGTGGACTTGAGAAACCTATTTTCCCGTAAAACTATTTTAAGAGAAAGATTTTATAAATTTCAACAGAGAGTAATGTTAACTCATTGGTCAATGAATATCGAATGTTTCTTTGTAAGAAAACGGCTAATATCCCCGTTACTATTATCATCTCTGGATTGGAATTTTAGCTGTTTGCATTCGCCTTGAACTAATGCCCCCTGGGAAAAGTATGAATCGGCTTTATATGCTGAATATTCGGCCACAGAAGCAGAGGAATGAGCTGCTAACGGCGAAGATTAAAGTGAGGATTAATGTTCCAACCTACTTTTTAATGTCATATCCCTTTAGGGCGTACGTGATCATGACTCTCCACAGATTATTTTTTCGTTATTATCTGTGAATTATCATAATTTATTACCTTCAGGGCTGTTTGGAATTCAGAGTTTTCCTCCTCTTGAACGTGTTGCCCCTCAAGACTAGAGATCGCAGGCTAGCTTGCTATTTAACCCATAGCTGTGGGAGAAGAGATGGATTAATGCATTTCCCAAGATTATTAGTGCGAAAGTGAATCCAACAGATAACGCTTTCAGAAACTCCTGAGAAAGGTACTCCTACTATTCATTGTTGGTATGGTTGGTGAGAAACTCGAATTGAGTATTTAGTAGAAGAAATCCATATCAACGCACCAGGGGTGAAGTTATACGGTAGTAAATGAATATTAACTGCCGATGTAAAAAGAATATATATATATATATATATATATATATATATATATATATATCTGGGATAACAATATATATATATATATATATATATATATATATATATATATATATATATATATATATATAGGATAACGAAATATATTTTTTATATACCAAGAAAAAACTTTGGAGGAAAAAATGAAAAAAATTTCTGTGTGATGCGTTTTGTTTTTTTAGAACGTCATCGGAATAGGTTTGTTTAAGTCGATACGACTACACATACGCACAAAAGAGAGTTGCTGGAAATTTCAAATTTAGAATTTTTTTTTCTTTTCTATGTGTTTTGTTTATATAATCTGGCCAATTCTGTTTAGATTCTTTTTAATGGAATTGGTTAGATTATTAAACAAAAGCCAAAAAGAAACTGAAGGAACTCCTAGAGAATTTAAAAAAGGACTAACAATCAGTTGTAAGATGACAAAATATATGATACCAAAGTCAAACAAATACAAAAATTTAAATATCTGGGAAGTGTTTTAACGGAGGACGGAAAGTGTGACACCGAAATCCGAAGATGCGCTGGCATATCGAATGTGCCTTCTAAAAGCTAATTAATGTATTAAGTAGCGGAAAAAATTCGTTAGAAACAAAGCAAAGATTGCCGAAATGCTATGTAACATCAGTCCTCCTATATGGCCGTGAATGGTGTACAATTTCCCAGCAAATGAAAAAACGACTTGAAGCTACAGAAGGATGCTGAGAATAACATAGACTGAACATGTGCGAGACGTGGAAGTTTTAAAGACAATGAAACAGGAATTTTATACTTAGGATCAGAATGAGACAATTGAAATTTCTGAGGCATATAAGGAGGAAAGAGATCTGGTAAAATTTGACACTCACATAACATATTGAAGGCAAGAATAACTCAGGGAAACATCGAGTAGTAGTTATGCAAATTAACAGCAAAACAGGGATTATGAGAGATAATAAAAAGATAGATATTGCTAAGAGCTACAAAGCATAGAAAACTATGGAGAGCCATGAAAACCAGCATACCGAAGATAAAGAGGCTTTTTTCTAAGCTTTCTCTCATCATAATAAACAAATATGTTTTTTTTTTTTTTGTGCTTGTATAGGTTACAAATAAAAATCTCAAATCTTGATAAACTCAGCCGAGACAAAATTAATTACCAACAATCTTTCCATAACGTTGATATGGCGATTTTCTAATCTTGCCACACGGCCGAAAGTATGGGGCATCCAGTGAGGATCGAACACGCTACTCAGTCGTACTAGTTCTAGCGAGACAAGCTTGCTAATCATTACACCACCCCGAGGTGCCGAAATGATTTTCTAAGCGTAGCTTAGATGTGGCACAAGGTCGACAGTACGGGGCACCCAGTGAGGACCAAACTCACTATTCAGTTGTAATTGATCTAGCGAGACAAGCTTGGTAAACATTTTATCACATTGAAGTGCCCCCCCCCCCATAACGTTGATATAAACTGATTAGCAAGTGAAATACAGCGAGTTTGCCCTCAGTGCTTGAATGCGGTGTTAGAGTCTGAATAAAGGTCATATGTGCGTTTCAAATTAGGTTTGGCCTCCTTCACAACATTCCTAGCCATAAATGATCAGTTTGTTTTTATGCTTGCAAAATGTACTATATACACGCATAAAGACTGGTTTAGCCACAAAAAGATCTCATTCTATCATTACATTTATATTGCCTACAGTTTTATGGGCTATTGAAAAACAACGCCGATATAATATTTGATATTTGATGCTAACTTCTATAAAAGTGACTCATTTCTCTAGCAAATGATTTCCACTAACAGGAAAGGAAAGATTGAATCGCTTGTAAGGTCTGCTGCAAGGAAAATTGGTTAACTGTGTCGTGCTAGACAATCTTTCGCACCAGAATCTATCTTACACCATTATAAGTCTACCATTCGTTCATGCATTCAATATTGGTGCCACATCTGGTCTGGACAATATTTTCGCACCAGAATCTATCTTACACCATTATAAGTCTACCATTCGTTCATGCATTCAATATTGGTGCCACATCTGGTCTGGACAATATTTTCGCACCAGAATCTATCTTACACCATTATAAGTCTACCATTCGTTCATGCATTCAATATTGGTGCCACATCTGGTCTGGACAATATTTTCGCACCAGAATCTATCTTACACCATTATAAGTCTACCATTCGTTCATGCATTCAATATTGGTGCCACATCTGGTCTGGACAATATTTTCGCACCAGAATCTATCTTACACCATTATAAGTCTACCATTCGTTCATGCATTCAATATTGGTGCCACATCTGGTCTGGACAATATTTTCGCACCAGAATCTATCTTACATCATTATAAGTTTACCATTCGTTCATGCATTCAATATTGGTGCTACATCTGGTCTGGACAATATTTTCGCACCAGAATCTATCTTACACCATTATAAGTCTACCATTCGTTCATGCATTCAATATTGGTGCCACATCTGGTCTGGACAATATTTTCGCACCAGAATCTATCTTACACCATTATAAGTCTACCATTCGTTCATGCATTCAATATTGGTGCCACATCTGGTCTGGACAATATTTTCGCACCAGAATCTATCTTACACCATTATAAGTTTACCATTCGTTCATGCATTCAATATTGCTGCCACATCTTGTCTGGACAATATTTTCGTACCAGAATCTATCTTTGGTCTGGTGATTCTGCTATGTATCTAGAGATTCCTGACGAAATCGAAAGAAAAATCTGCAATCTTATTAATTCTGACATGGCATCTTGATTTCAGTCACTTTCCCACAGCCATAACGTCGCTTGTCTGTGCTTTTTCTATAAATGTTTTCATGTTAAGTGTTCTGCTGAGCTTTCCCTTTTGGTAACTCGAATTTAAGCCCAGTACTAGATTTGCAATTAGGTCTCATCATTTTATATTCTAACTTGCTCGATGCAATCATAAATTCTATGCTAACAGTTTCTTCTCTCGCAGTTATTACTTATGGAATTCTCTTCGGGTCTCCTGCTTTCCTGTCAACTTTAATCTTCCAAACTTTAAATGCAATGCCAATCGCTATCTTCTGTATCTTTGAATCTGTTTTTTTTATTATTATTATCCTCTCTATTTGATAATGTTATTTTTCTTAAACACTTTCATTTTCACTGACCCCCTCAGTGGCTTTATCACCTTGCTTGAGGTGAAACGATTAAACAAATATGGCAAACATGGACATTCGTGCCTGAACAAAAATAAAAAACGAAGTG